TCATGGGCCAAACGTATTATAGATTGAGTTGAATCTAATTCTAATTGATCCCTTCAACTCTAAGTTGAAATGATAATCCATTTTCCTGTTGTGACCTCCTGATTCAGTTTTCCTCTACTGTTCACTCTTTTTTAAACATTCACCATTCTCTTGATGGTTCTTGAATGGACTTTGAAGATGGGAGGCAGAGTATGAATATTGGTACCATTACTGAAGGCCTGAATGATCTTTTTCCTCTCACCATTGCTTATTTGGGAAGATAGTGCATCTGACACGAAATGATTTTATCTTCTTTTCTTCCTAGCTGAATAATTCAAAACAGTTTTTCAGTGATTTTTACAAAAAAATGGTGTCAAGGTGTCATCTTATATGAAAAACCTGGGGAAAAGAAACTCAATTAGTTTAGTGTTTTTTTAGATATTGAACATGTTGTGGGATGAATAATTATACTGTTACATGATTTGGACAATTTTGCTGTTACACCCGGTATATATTATTTATTTATTTCCATGTATTTATTATTTAATTTTAATTTAATTATTCATTTTAAATAATGGAAGGTCTTCAGTTAATCGTTCTTTTATGTTCATGCATGCATGCATGCTGCCTTGGGTAACAAGTATTTCTTTTAAGAATGGAGATATTTGTTAACATCTGGGAAGAATTGATAGCTGCAATCTCAAGAACAATGTAAGTTATATATATATGTGTCATATACACATAAATTTGGGTATGATCTTATATATATATATATATATATATATATATATATATATATATATATATATATATATATATAATGAGTTCTATTCCAAAAGCAGGCGAGAATGTTGTCCCATCATACCTTGCTAATGAAGGGAACAACTTGAAATGCAATCAGCTGATAGTTACCTGCTAAGATATCTAGAAAAGAAGTTACATTGTTGCTGTCGACTGCAGTGAAGGAGAAAGATTTTGTTCATTTGCTTATATAAGCTTGCAGGCATGCGAATATAGATTTTTAGATCAGTATTGTCTGTGGAGGCCATCTAGAACCATGCATCATTACTGACACTGTCTGTTAAAATTGATAAACCAAAAATATATGATGAACCAGAATATTCTTTTTTTTTTTGCCTATTATAGGAGGAAAAAAATGCCAAGCCTATGTTAATTATAGGTGCATTCTTTTTTGCAAAATTTGAATCTGATACAAATAAGCATTGCTTTGGCTTTTTTGTAGTACTACATACATATATACATATATACATACATACATAGCCCTGTTTTTTTTGTTGAAGCAGGAACAAAATTAATCTGACACAAAAGAAAGTGGCTACTGCATGACAGAGGATTTGTCAATGATTTGATGCAAGGTTTAACAAGGCCAGATGCTCTTCTTGATACCCAATTCAGACACTCACAGAAGTTCAAGTACATCAAATGTTTTCATCGAGACAATATAGGATGTTTCCATTCAAAGCTTGAGACTCCATCTTAGCCTTATATATATATATATATATATATATATATATATATATATTTTAGGGTATGCTATATTTACGGGTTAAAGTGCTGAGTGTAAATATAAAAGTAAACATTGAGGTCAAGACCCAGTGGTGACAGTCTATTTCAGGCTTAAACACAATCTTCAGGTTAGTTAAGCATGAATCTGACTGTTGCCTCTGGATGTTGACCTCATAGTCCACTTATATATATATATATATATATATATATTGGGTGTTAGCTTCATTGCAAATAAGTTACTATAATAATGCATTTTAAATGTTTTTACTATAGAAATAGTTTCCTATAATGCATTTCTGCCATAAAATTTATTAGCAATGTGTTTTTATAATTTTTCAATGCATTTCTGACAACTGACAATTTTTGTTTCTCATTAAACAAAGAACTTATAATTAAATAAGATGCTTTTAAAAGACTTTTCTGCATCACTTAGATGGAGAGTCTCCTATGAAATTGCAGTTATTGCGTGTTAACTATATCTTTATATAGTAATACTTAGAGCAATTGCACGTGATGGTGGACTTCTGTTGACAAAGGATACCTGTTGAAGACATAGTAACCCAGACTTTTTAGAAAAGTAGAAATGTTAAAAACAGATTTCTTTCTTTATTTACACTATTTACATACACCATTGTGCAAATTAATTGAAACAATTGCTTTAGTTTCTTTTCTTTCACCATATAGTCAGTTTTAGACCCATTGGAGTGACAGGGTATAATTGAGTTCTAATTTTTTTTCTCAGATTAGGTCATTTGCTGTGGTGTGCAGCAATATGAATCTATTTTCGGGGTGTATGATGAAATTTGTTTGGCTTTGAAAAATATTGCATCATCCGTGATTGCATCAGATTGTCTCAACTGTCGATTAGTTGTCCTATGGCTATTGTCTGCGATGGACATTGTGCCAAAGAAGTGTATGAATGCTGCACAAATACACTGGCAAATACAAGTGAGCAAATCAAAGTACTATAAACTGACCCAGAAACTCTCTTGATTTAAATCCAATTGAGAATATATGTTCAGTCTGCAAGGAATGACTTTGTGGAATGGACATATGAAGTACTAACATGTGCAGTGGGTCATATTTCATTGGACAAATATGAAAAGAAAGTAAATAATAACAGAATTATTCATTTTGTTTCAATTAATTTGCACAATGTTGTAATATCATCTTTGTTGTTGTTATGACAATGTTTGGGCTGTTGTACCCTCTGTCTTTTATCAGGTATATATCGATTTGAGGGTAACCTACAGGGAATTCTGAACTAAATCCTTTATTCAGTCTACAAGAGTGGATTCTTCTCATTCCACTGCCCATGTGTATTGATGTCTCATCTAGTTCTTGTTTTTAGCACTGCTCAGTTATTGTTACATACATATATTTATATATATATATATATATATATATATATATATATATATAGTGTGTATTTAGGCAGAAATTTTTCATTGATGCAGGTTTCATTAAATAATATAGACAAATTTTGTCTATTTATTTTAAGTAAGTTCCTTTCATATTGTCTGATAAGCTTAATAACATTATCATTGAAAGACGAAAGGAAATCACTATATTGATACGTTTTAATCTATCTAAGCTCATATGATGTCAATATTATTTAATGAAAAATGCATCAATATATATATATATATATATATATATATATATATATATATATATATGTGTGTGTGTATGTATATTTAGGCAGCAATCCTTCTTTCATGCACATTTCATTGAATATGACAGACAAGGGACATTTATATTTTCTTATACAATTTCTCATGTAATCTAATAATTTTTTCTTTTCAGATGATAAATTATATAAAAACTGTCTGAATGTTCTTTTTATCCGATCACTTTCAGCTATGCATTTAGCCATTTTCAAGGATTAAATATTTTAACTGTTAAATAAGAAATAGTTTGTTGTATATAAGTTTTATAAAATGTTTTCATTTTTCAAAACATGGTCAAGATAGTATGCCCATGTTCAAAGTTCATTTTATTAAGTGTTGGTTTTTTGTTTTTATTAATAAGGCTTCCATTATTTTTAACCTTGTTTTGCATGTAGATGATGCTATTATATTAGTGTTGTTAACAAGTATGTTACGAATAGTGTCCGGTAGGTCTCCATGAATATTTAAATGAAATCTAATTGAGCTATGGTCAGAAAGGTGTAGAATGAGTCTGCATGTCAAACATGTTGTAGTGTGGCCTATATAACTTTTTAGAAAAGTAGAAATGTTAAAAACAGATTTCTCACTATTTGTAACATACTTGTTGACATTTTAAAGATGGACACTTTTATATATATATATATATATATATATATATATATATATATATTTAACAACAGAAATAGTCCTTTTCATGTTTGAACACAATCTTTAAGCCTGAAACAGACTGTCGCCACTCACAGTTAACTTCAGCATCTACTCACATATATATTTGATGAACACTCTTGTTGAATTTGATGTTTGATTGTTCCAGGTAATTTTTTCATAAGAGAACCATAAATTACTTCACTTACAGGTAATTTGTTCATAGTGATGAAGTCTTGCATAAGAACAACCGCACTGTTTGAAAGACTTGATAACAGAGAAATGGCACACAATGTCCCATGAAATGTATAAACAGCCCTCTACAATTTATACTGTCCTGGAGTTTAAGTTCTCAAGAATAATGTCAAAGTGAATGTACTTAAATATGATCCTCCCTGGAAAGACATGATGTGAATTTAGAGGTGAATTGGTTGCTGCCCAAGGCAAGAGAGCCCAATCTGTTCTGTTATTTAATCCATAGCTGGGGGATGATGGATTCATACCTTTTACAAGGGCATTAGCTCAAAGTGAACAAAAGAGAATTAGATAGAATTTGAACTCATCACGCCAGTTCCCCTTACTTCACCAATAACCATTATGCTACTTGCACATTTACCACATAATTATCCCCTACTTATACATGCGTATGTGTAGTTAGATAATATATATAGTTCTAAGCAGGCCTATGCAAACTTAATTAAATATGTATATAATAATTTTATAAGTGTGTAAGCCTTGGAAACAAGAAAAAGTTTTGCATAGACTAGAAAAAAAGATAAAATATAAATAAATCTTTTGGTTTTTTTTTTGCAATCATCAGTTTCTAAATTATGCAAAACATCAGTTTTGTTTCTGATCATGTGATCATTCCTAAGAAAAAATTTCCTGGGCTTTTTTATGGAACTCATAAAAATAAAAACCAAATTTAATCAGACAGTTTTTAGCCCAGTGAGTTGTAGTTAGTCACCAAAGATATAGTGATACATAGTGATTCTTTCTTTACCAAATGATTTCTTTTTAAATTTGAGTCACTAACAGTTTTAAAAATGCTAATAAATATTTTCTTTAAAGGAAAATTCTATTTTCACAGAAGAAAACATTATCAAACAATTCATAGTTTTCAGAATAAATTTAATTTGAACTTGAATTTTGAAACAAAAACAAAATGTTAATACTTACCAAATCCAATATTTGACACTCGAAGTCCAGATTTTCCAAGGTTTCTGTAAATTAAATGAAACATTTGAGAGGTTTTGAATTTTAATTGAAAACACTTTCAACAAAATTTTACAAGTCAAAAATAAAAATCCAGATGTAGAATTACAGTTTTCTTAATATAATCAACATAATCTCCTTACTTGTAGCAAATATTAATCCCATATATCAAACATTATACAGTGAGAATTTCAAATCAAAATTCAATTTTATTGGTCCACCTTTGTATGTTGTAAATATCTAAAACGTGTGCACATTGTCATATTCTTCCAAGCATAATGAATTTGGAATTTCACCCCATATACAAGACTCAGGAGACATTCAAGGTAGAGGGTTAATGTTAAAATGGTTATGATGAATCAGCTGTGTATTATGAATAAAAGTGAAGATGATGATGATAAATTGGATATATAACAACTGACCTTTCATTAAAGAGGTTAAGATTGTAGTGTTCTTCCCAAGAACTGCTGCTTTGTGAAACAGACTCTTGACAGGATGTTTTCCTAATAACTACAATTTTGACCTCTTCATGTCTAGGGTTAACTGTTATCCTACCTACATAAACCCAGAAACTTCACTTCTTGATTTTTATTCTACTCATACAACACCGCACAATTACTATCTACCTTGACTGGCTCTTGGGTCTTATATTCAGTGAACATTACTATGAAAAAATAAAACTCCCAAAGAACTACCTTCTGTTTGATTGTAATGTTCAAAATCCTGTAATATATATACACAAGACAATTCAAAAGTTTGAGGCAACCCATGATAATTTTTTAAATTGGCCCCAAAAGGAGTTGTTTTGTACTTTAAATAAGAGAAAATTAATATACATGCTTAAAAAAAGTGAGGCATGATTTTCTATTAGAAACATTATTATGACAAAAAGAAAAAAAGCATTTTATGATTAGATTTTGCTCTTGTCAAAATATCCTCCTTTTGCCTTGATTGCTGCAGCAGAAATTTTTGGAATTCATTTTTTCAATGACTCTAAGAGCTATTTTTCATTTATTTAACTATTCACTATATATATATATATATATATATATATATATATATATATAATAATAATATAATAATATAATGGACTCTCCTGTCAGTTTTGACGTATAAGGATCGGACAGCTTATTGATTCAATTATGAAAGTTTGTGTGATAATCTTAAGTGGCATTGAAGACCTGTTAGTGATTTACAAAGGAGGCCACATATGGAGCACGTGTGAGGATTGAGATCACTGTTAGATTGGCTGACCTTTTAGATTTTGCTCTCGCTTCTTGAAGATGATTCAGACAAGCAGATTGAAAATTGCTGAGTCCACTAAAACACGTTGATCTCCATTCTACCCGATCCAAAGCTAAGCACTTAAGGGTGTTATGTGGTATATTGACTGCAGACAAGTTGCTTTTCAGCTTGTCTTTGTATCTTAGCCATGGGCGTCCTACATCCCTGTAGCCCTGATCTAACTGGCTTTACATTAGGATCTTGGGTATCCTTTCATCAGACATTCTCAAGACATGACCAGTCCACTGTAACTGAGACTGTATGATAAAAGTCTCGATTCCCCCAATATTACACATGTTAAACAGGTCTACGTTAGATGTCCTATCTTGAAGCTTAACTCCACAGATTGCACGCAAACAGCTTTTATGGAAAACATCTAGCTGCCATATATGGTACCTGTATGGAGTCCACGACTCTGAGCTGTACAAAAGGATGGTAAGTACAACAACTCTGTAAATGTGAATTTTCATATCCAGTTGAACACCCTGCTCATTCTACAAGCGATGGCGAAGTTTGCCGAAAGCACTGGTAGCCTTAGCAATCCAATGCATGATTTCATCATCTAAACTTGTGGATAAGAACAAATCAAGGTAAACTGTCAGAAAACCCACACAAGTGATTTGATTAAAGTGGTGAAGGCTTGTGCAGAACCATCCACACTTTTCGGAACTACTGATACACTTAATCGGTGCAAATAAATGCCACAGACGAAGCAGACAATATACCTCAGGCTTTTTGTGTAAGAGTTTTCCATCTCCTAGACCAATCGTGTTCTATAACACTAAAGAGCTTGGTCAGCCCTGGTAGACACTATTTGGCCATAGTTGGGACCCTAACATATATATATATGTGTGTGTGCAGGTATGTAGAAAAATAGGAAAGAACACGTTAGGTAAACATGAGAACTCTTATGTAGCAAAGGAATCATATTTTTAAAAAAATAATTATGTGTGTGTGTGTGTGTGTATATGTGTATATATATATGTGTGTGTGTGTGTGTGTATATATATATATATATATATATATATATATATATATATATACACACACACAAACACACCCTGAAGAATGGACGGATCGATGGGTCCGTCTACAAAACTCTAGAGTTGGGATGCTGAAGGTAACATCAATCAGCTAAGTGACAAACTTTTACTTATATATGACAAAGAGGAAAAATTCTACCCATTAACTCTGTCATAGCTACAATGAAAAAGAATTTAGAGGTTTAGAAAGTGCTTTTACTGCTAGATCATCCACTAAATCTGAGTACAAGTTCTTAGAGCATTTCCCCATTTTTGGCAGACCTATTGCCACAATGTGGGATATTTAGTAACAAAAGAGATGGAAACAAAAAAGAATCTAAATAAAGTCAGTTAGATTATAGACCCAAAACATATATATAAACAAAAAAAATTATTTTTAAATTTAGGATTCCCAGCATGTCATATGCATGAGTAGTCACATCAACATAAACAAACCAATAAAGTCTTAAATGACACAATGCATTACTTTCATCTTTCTCACAAAATTGTTCTTGATATATAAAAATTTATATATCATTATCCCATAGCTATTTATATAGCTTGCAAAAACATGCCATGATTTAATACAACTAAAACTCCACCTCCAGTAAAGTTTCATGTTTATATTAGGACTTTATTTCATACCACAAAAGATAATTTTAATAAACTTTTGTAATATTTCCAACATTTTTGTTGACAGAAGATAAATAGTAAAAAAGCACCAACTACAAAAATTCATTAATAATACAGAATATTTTTGATATAGAATTTTACACTTGCAAATTTTAAAAACATTAGTGGCTGATTTCTTTATATTTTACAAAAACCTAAAAGATTTTACAAGTATGATCTGTTTAGTTTCTTTAGTATTGAGGGAGGAGAAACTGTAAGCAAAAATCACTACAGCAAAAAGCAACCCAGTGCCTTACACACACACACACACACACACACACACACACACACACACACACATGTAGTGTCTCCCGCCAAGCAATGTTATTGATTTAGTTGAGAGAAACCACTTTATACTGTTATTCTTTGATCAGTATGCAGCGAGTGATTCTCTAGAGAGTCAGAAAATCAGTGGAAATGTCATGCCTATGTTGATTTATGGCCAGTGCCTTTGGACTCTGTGTTAATCTATCCTCAAAGGAGAAACAAAATGGTAAGGAACTGATAAATAAAAGAAGAACTGACCATAAATAGCAGATCAGTCTGTCATGTAATGAGTTCTTTCTATATCATGTAACTCTAGATAAACTCCTCTTTGCTGTTAGAACCATTAATGATTTCGTTTATTTGCCCCAGTATTTATTGTTTATGACAAAACCGTCTTTCTAAGTGAGTTTGCTCATTAATCTAATCAGGTGTAACTTTAGTAACCTGAAACAAATGCAAGCTTGTTCAGGTATCAATGGTTAAGAATCTCACACTACTGCTCACACCTGCACAATCTGATTATAGAACTTTATTGCCTTTACTGGAAGAGTTACAAAAAAAGAAGAGTCATAACTTCCTGCTTGCTTTTCATTGTTTCTTGTAAAGTTTCCCAACTGAGCATGGTACCCATAAAAAATAACATGATTATGTATAGATAAGCACTTCTGCTGAAGATCAGAGTATCTGTGCACTTTACTTAAGACTAAAGCATAGTGTTGTTCTTCAGATCTATGTAGTATCTGTGCAATCTGCTTAAGACCAAAATGTCATTCCCCATAACTTATGCTTCAGATCAGTTTAGTATCAGTGTACTCTTTCTAGCACCAGACTGTGACACCCCCACAGAATGTATGCTCAATTTAATATCTATGCCTAGTACCAAACTTTCACTCCCCAGAATTTATTCTTCAGATCAATGTAGTATGTGTGCATTCTGCCTAGTACCAAAATTTCACTTCCCAAAACCTATTCTTCAGATCAATGTAGTATCTGTGCACTCTACCTAGTACCAAAATTTCATTTTCCAGAATTTATTCTTCAGATCAATTTAGTATCTGTGCATTCTGCATAGTACCAAAATTTCACTTCCCAGAACTTATTCTTCAGATTAATGTAGTATCTGTGCACTCTGCCTAATACAAAAATTTCACTGGCAGTGTTTATGCCTCTGATCAATTTAGTAATTGTGTGCTATTTAAAAGAATTGTTACAATAACAAAAAATATTTCTATGTTAAGCCTATTTTCAGTTGCACAACCAATCTTACAATGTTGGTCCATCACAAGAAAAGTTGACAATGAAAAAATGTATTTATAACATTTCCTGGAAATGGAGAGAATATAAGAAAGCGGCTTAAAATCAGATTTGAGAAACATAAAGCCTTCTTTTAAAGGAAGATAGAAACATCTAGTATAAAAGACCATACCTGGAAGAAGGAGTGTTTGCATTATCTACTCTGGGATGATGTCCAAATAATAGATAAGGAATATTACTGGAGGATAAGAAAACTGAAAGAAACAGTAACATTAGCTTAACAGACAGCTGAATATGGATTTGAAGTATGGATTTTGATATAGCATGAATTCTTTGTTCAGAAGGAAAAGAATAGTTGGGAGAGAATATACCATGGTATATTCTCTCCCTAATATTCTTTTCCTTCTGAACAAAGAATTCATGTTACTGGTAATGGAATTGTTTGTATTGTGAATAGGAAGGTCCAGTTAGTGTATTTGCCTCATGCTTTGCTGTTTGTGGAAAAAGGACACTTATCTTTTCTTAAAGA